AGGCCCAATAACTTTCTCCCCAAAACGGGCTTGCAAAAATGTGGTTATTTAGGGCAAACTAAGAGAGGTGTTTCTTGAACTGACTGGGTGATCAGAGAATAGTTAACCTATAAGTGATAAGTGATGATGATCACAGGAGCTGGGGCATATTCATAGGTGCTCAGAAGGTTTTTTTTTTAATGTGTGGGTCACACTACAGTATATATCCAACCAAGCGATTTCAGATCCAGTTCGCAAACAAAAAAAGGCAAGAGATAATGTATCCAGTTTTAACAGAAAGCGTCGCTGAGACTACACGGAACATGCACTCAGAATGGATAAGGCAGACTTCCCCATCAAGCGCTCATATGAACACCGGAAGGGAAAAGAAAACGGGAATACCAAGAAAGACTCTGCATAGAACCATCAGGAAAGGCTCAACTGTGGGCATAATGAACACCCAAGATCTACAACAGGTGTCAATGAGCCGCCAGACATGAACAGCTATGACCTCTGCCCTATGCTCAAAAGAAAAGACTAAATAACATATTATACAAGCCGTATGAGGCGAATAAGGATGGCATCCCACTAGGAACTATTCTGTTACAGCTGTCCCGGTAAAATCTCACCAAACATGAAGTCTGTGAAAAGACTGATGCGAGTTGGTGAGGGCCTATGCTCCATCTGGAACGGGTAGGTTGATGAAACTAGTGAACATAACGCAAGCGGTCTTAAAACCCAAACAGTAATACGTCAGTAGGCCGTGAGATGTGTGCTGTGGCAATGAATCTCCCTGTTTGAGTCTATCACACTTTTTAGGAAAAAGCCATTTCAAATGGATGACTCCAGAATTGATCCATCCAAGTGATAAAGCAAATCACACCAAAAACATTTTTTTCACTCTTATTTGAAAACTAACGAAAATCACAATCTTAGCAAAAATTACAATATCAGATTCATCCATAATTACAAACTAATCAATAATATTGACAAAGCCCAATATCGTTTATAATTCAGTTTCAAGTTTCTCTATCTTTATAAAATAATTAACAATATTGATTAAGTCTAATTTCTTTCATAATTGAACATAAAGTGTATCCTGTCTCTCGCTCTCTGTTTGTACCCCACCAGGACATTACACAAGCGATAAACACCCGGTGACACAAAGTGCCACCATGCGGATGAAGATCACCCGTTGAGAGGTCCCAGAAACCCCTTTCAGCCGTTAGGCCATATTTATGGCCCGGCTATATTCAGGGCCCCCGGCAAAAGCCAGGATGGTACTCCAAATAGCGAAAAATTGCATCCCACATGGGGACAACTGAATAATAAATTGCCCATCAATTCCAAATCCTTAACAATATAGGTCAAGTTTAATTTCTTTGATAATTCAATTTCAAATGTATCCATCATTATAATATCCTTAACAATATTTTTAAGTCTCAAGTCTTTTATAATTTAAGATGTTGGGAATGCAAATGAAGGACCTTTTCAACGACCTAATGCGTATTAGGCATAATCTATACTGTATAAACCAGTCGGGACATCACGCCGACCGCCTTTACTTCCCATGACTTTACCTAGTACCTGGGTAGACCTGGGAGCGACATGCCAGTCTTAATCGTTTTTCTGTCTTTTGATAGCATTCTGCGTATTTGCCCGCTGCGACGTCCCATTCCCATTGCCAGTTACATCGGCTTTACTAAGTCCATGGTACGCCCGCAGGAGACTGAACAAGTTACACAGCTCTTTGAGCATACTTCTCTAGTGGCCGCTCTTCGGTCCGCACTGCAGTTTCTCGTGAGCATCCGCGGAACATACAAAAACAAAATGTTTATCATGTTGAACGAATGCGCAACTGTCCAAGATAAGAAGCTACAGTTAGCAGTGCTTATCCGCCAACCGCTACTAGTCTTCTGCTTCCGATCTTGCAGACTACAATTAAACTGTCCCCCCCCCCCCTCCCTCTCCCTCGGGCACTGTCCACATATTTCAAAACGAGGGTTCAAGGGCGCCATTTGGTGGGGGTGGGAGAGAATAGACCCGCTGCTCCCCTCCTCCCAAACTAAAAGCAGCTAATTGTGCTTTTGTTAAAGTGGATATGTTCGACCAAAAAGCGGGAACGTCGCAGCCCAGATTTAAATCAAAACACAGCGTCCCAACCGCCCTTTCAAAGGCGAAATCAGTTAAGAAAGACTGCTTGAAAATCAAAGTTAATATGGTCGTGCGGGGCACGCAAGCCTAAAACCTGAGGATTCGGGCCGCAGAGCTACTTCAGATGTCAGCAGCTTTGCATGTTACTGTTTAATTTGTACCCTGACAAACAAACAATATCCCAAAAATTATCAAGAATTGAAACTCTGATTTTTGTCTGAAAACAATACTCAATTTTAACTAAGATCAAGGAAAGATCCCACTACTTTAAGAAACAGTCCGTAACGCATCCATAACAGGGCATTGCAGAACCAACCCCAGCATTTTTTTGCTACTGTGGTTTTTCTAGGTAAATTTACGTCCAGTAGTTTGCCATTGCTTTCTGGACGGTCAACTTCTCGACACCACTGTTGAAACCAAGGCAAGGCACAAGGCTGGCATGTGGGATCGAACCCGGCATCCCGGCATTACGAAAGCTCGTTCGCAATGCATAAGCCACAGACGCCGACTTCAGAAACAGTAAAGGGCTTTTTCCGCACCTTTAGGTGTTTTGGGCATATAGGGCTAGACCTATATTTTGAAGACCAATCGCCACTCGGTAGGGAACATGATCAACATCCCGCCGGCCGCCTTCAACTCTTAGGTTAAAGTTAGCCACGTGTCCTTTACAGGACGTTGCAGAACCAACCCCAGCAGCCCCTGGCTGTTGTGTGATTTCTATCGGCAAATTTACGTCCAGTAGTTTGCCATTGCTTTCTGGACGGCTGGCCACCTGATACCACTGTCGGAACCAACGCAAGGTGCATGGCCCGCAGCTGGGATCGAACCTGGCATCCCGGCATTACGAAGCGTTCGCATCGACTTAGCCACAGAGCCGACCAACTCCTAGGACTTTACTTAATATCCAGTTATTGCTGGGTCCATCTGGGGGGTCGTCAGGGCCTAAACCCACGAACTTCGTATCCGCAGTCGAGAGTACAGCCACTGCACCACGGGGTCTCCCTAAATCTGTATCTGTTTACCTAAAATACCAGCCCTAATTTAAAAAAAAAAAAGGTGTGTGGCAATATGAGCAAGCACTTATTTAGCGACAAATCAAATCAAGTTTACGATGTGATGTTCACTGAACCCAAAGTTGCCAAAGGCCGCCTCAAATCGCTCCAACGCTGAACTGTAATCAATGAATGCGCTTTGATTTCATCAATTTTCTTCTAAAGCATAACCTCCCCCCGTTGACGCCATAAATCCACTCCCTGGTCCATCCTGCTCGCTCCCAATCACGGTCGGCATTTTGCATGCACGTGCGCGCTCCGCTGCTCACGTGTCGTCCTGTGTTTTCACTCGTTGGCCGCCAAAGTTTTCACGATTTCTGCCATCGGCGCATCCGTTTTCGCACGTGCGTTTGTCTACATGAGCTGCTGTTCATCGAATTCTCTATAAAGAGAATTAGAATGCTGCTAAAGTCGAAAACATATGTGCAATAAAATCCGCCCACAAGAACTGCAAAATCCATATAACTATTTAAAACAAACCAAAAAAAAATTAAGTATGCAAGCTTTGCTGCGCACTCAATAACGTAATTAATAATTTGTGACCTTACCATCTGGCGATTTAACTCAATTTTAATTACCATATAATTGCAAAGTTTGCTTCCGAGAACAATAATGAAAACTATTTACATATTGTTTTAATCCTCAAAATCCCTTGTTATTTTGGTAATATCTTTAATTAAACACATTTATTGTCTCCCTTTGTGCAGTAGGGTCCCCTTATTTACAAAATACATGCACTATCGTACAACTTGCAACCATTTACAAAATAATTCACATTAACATAATAAATGTATCTAAAATCCGCACTTATCTGCACAAACATAAATATTAGAGAACTACAAATAAGATACAATCAAGAATGACAGGCGCATCCAGGCACAAAATCCATTGACGTTAAATAATACAATGTTGGTTTCAAATGGAAAAAAAAATTATACAATCTTATACGTCAATACAGTTCATGATTTGATTTTTAGGTTACTGATGAAGATTTTCATCCGGAATTTTGTAAAGCCAAAACATTTTTCGTTTTGTGAAGCAAAGGGCATAACCTGCGCATGCCAGAAATTTACCAACGTCCTTTGTTGAGCTAGGGAAATGTTTGTTTTTAACTGAAAATGATGCCTAGAAATGGTTCGTGTTGTTGAAAAGAGCTGGTTAATTAGGGCAAAAGTGCAACGTGGCAATGAATTATTCGTGGTTCAAAAGTAATTTACAAAAATAAAGATACTCTTGCTTCAAAGTTCAAATTAATTCTGCCTCTTGGGAGAGATGTCCGTTTTGTTTTTAGATGATGTTAATGAGTAAAAGATTTGTTACATTTTGAGATTAAGTAAAACAAACTCGTGGGAATTCTGATGCGCGCATTGGGGGTACTCACATAATTGTACCAGCAACTTTCGTATCTGTGTATTGATGCTGTTTCACTTTTCTAGCTGTAGGAAGTGTTCCACTTGAGAAACCAAATAAAGGCGGTTAACTATACATGACCCGCGTAGAGAAAATCGGTCAAGGAAATTGGATTTTGTCCAAATCCAAACATGTCATCATAGTTAGAAAACTCGACAACTGCAAGGAAAAGGATTTGAACTACTTATTTGATAATTATGAATATAATAGTGATGATGATGATGATGGTGGTGGTGTTGGTGGTGATGATGATGAAAAAGCATACTTATGTACATATACAATTGTCTGTGAGAGCTTCAAAGACTTGCTCGTGCTCCTGTCGAGCCGGTAAGTTTGTAAATTCCGTGTATTTTCACATTTGAATGTTGGGTAAATTCAAATACTTGTGTGAGGAAGTCACGTAGTTCACATGTGTGAGAGAGGTAAAGTGTTGTTGTCGGATGAAGGGATGTGGTGGCCGTTGATAGCATACTGCTGCATCTGCTGTAACCGCTGCTGGGCGGCTACAAATGCAGACTGTTGGTCGTTGTTGTTCATGATATGCTCGGACTGTCCTGGTAGATACATTGAAATGAACTCGCGGATTTCGTTCCCAGTCTGAGCCGCCGTGGGTGTGGGGTACGGCGATTTGCTGGGGCCTGAGTGAGCCGGAGCAGCTCCGACGGACCCCTGGGTGGGTGTGCCTGTTTCTCGTTTAATGCCGGGGGTGTTCGGGTGGACTTGAGGCGTGGGGGACATATTGTGTGCGGCGTAAGGTGCCATTTGGGCCATAGTCATGTTGTAACTGTTGGCGCTGTTCATGTAACTTCCAGAAGTGACCTGACCTTGCATAGCTTGAGCAGAGAAGTTCGGGTAGTACTGAGCGGGGTTAAGTCCGGGCAAATGTCCTGCCATCTGTTGGTAAGGGTTATGCTCGCCCATCATGTAACCGTTGGACATATAAGAATTCATATGGCTCGGGTACATCCCTGTGTGGTCTCTGCCCACCTGCGCCATTGCTGGATTCGGCATTCCGGGAAGAGCATATTTGTCCTTCTTCATCAGGGTCTTCGTCTTCCTACGTGGTCTGTATTTGTAGTCTGGATGCTCCTTCATGTGGATAGCACGAAGTCTTTTGGCCTCGTCGATGAAAGGCCGTTTCTCAGTCTCGCTAAGCAGTTTCCACTCCGCTCCCAGTCGCTTGCTGATTTCAGAATTGTGCATTTTCGGATTCTCCTGCGCCATCTTTCTTCGCTGCCCACGTGACCACACCATGAAAGCGTTCATTGGTCGTTTGACGCGACTAGGGTCCATGTTGTTCTTTGAGTTGGCAGAATTGTTGTTGTTGTTGTTTGTAGGACTTCCGCTGTTGGGGTTCCCACTCTGCCCGTGGTTGGTTTGGGGCAGTTCAGTATGGCCGCCGGAACCAGGTCTGGGTGACGTCTGCTGGGAATGCATGGAATGATGCGTCTGATGCACTTGTCCTGCCGAAGCCTGCGGCAGCTGCGTCTGCTGCGGTTGATGCAGAATCGGAGGCTTCATATCTTGCTCCATCATCATCATTTTGGAGCGATAAGTATCGCGGGGGTCGAAGCTTGGGTAGAAAATTTTGAGGCCGTACGAGGATCAACTACAAAAGAAAAATATAAATGAATTCTGTTAAAAATCAGTTTTGAAATAACGCTGTTAGTAATTGATTCTCATGCGTTGTTTGTTAGATGATGAAGACAACACAAGATCCTGTGATCGGCACGATTCCAATCTTCTTAGTGACGTTAATGTACGACACCAAAAAATTGTAACTCCAAGAAACGTTTAAATGAGTTAATAATGTGAGTTTGGTTTAGTAGTTAGAACAGAGCAAACAACTACTTGTCAAATATATCCATGTAATTCTCGTTGATTTTTGTTCAAAGAAAAAAATGACAATGGACGTACTGTCGTTTGGCGCTCCGGTGTCTCGGAATTTTTATCCAGGAAAATTTGTACACAATGCCAAATATAATTTCACCAGGACAATTAATTTGTTTAAAAAGTCAAATTCCTTTTCTGGCCCCTGAGTCTATACACAAGATGAGATTTTGATCCTAAAGATGGTGAGATCGGAGTGGCACGATGGGCGATGTCCGCTTCCTGTGGCTCAGGGTAGTTTTGAGTTAGTAAAACTTGTTAGTTGGAACTTTAAATCATGCATAAACCTGTGAAAGAAACAGTTAAAAAAAAACAGTTAAATTTGTTTGTTAAACAGGTAACAAAGGAAGTTAATTAAAGAAATTTGTGCAAAAGACCAGTCTACTT